AGAGAGAGAGGTTTTAGAACTAAGGTTTTTGATTGATGGTCTGTGGGTATTGGGTTGACCTGGATTCAGCTCGAGAGAGTGAATCCTAAACCCTTTTCCACACATTCAGCTTGAGATAGTGAATGGACTAAGGTGTGGGTTGTTCTTAACTTGCATGCTTGTTGATGTTTGAGAGAAATCAACTTGATTCGGGGTAAATTGTTTGAGAGAAAATTTACATCCCTTATAGTCTAGCTTACTCACTAATATCTAGTTATTTTCTAATAGTTGCAATTACCCATTTGTCTATATTAGCCTATAATAGATCACATCCCAAGAACCCGTCTCATTATTGTTATTTCGTATTATTTGCTGCTGTTTGTAGTTGAAAATCAAAACCAAAAACCCCCATTTGACATTCGTGTCACCCCTGATTTGAATGATGTCTTTATTCGATAACTTTTATTCCTATGACTGATTTGACCACATTTATACTTCCTAATTGAATCTTAAACACATATCGCTCCCTGTGGGATTCGACCCCAACTCATTTAGTTGGATTTTATACTGATTAACGACTGTTGACGTTTAAAATTGGATGAAGTGTCTTTGAAACGTTATTAATCCGCTCCTTTTATATAAGAAATTTACAACTAATGATGTCACCAATGACATCATTAAAATACTTAAGTTTCAAACTTTGCAACTATATATGTAGTTATATTGATAAGATTTAATTGGTATGTAGTTGTACCAAAGTAAGACTTTAATAAAATGGGGTTGGAACCCCACATGCATTAGTATGAGAAGTATCAATTTTTCATATTTTTTTATATAATTTTCTAATATTTAAAATATTAAATTAATAATCTAATTCAATTTAACTTTGAAGATTAGTCAAATTAATTCAGTATTTACTAATACTCTCTCTGTTCAATAATACTTGTCAATTATTAACTTTACACACTTATTAAGAAATTATAAATATAAGCATAATTTTACTATATCATCCATTAAATATAATAAATATTACAATGTCTTGAAAATATGATAGATAAATGATTATAATTAATTGTAAGGGAAATTAGGAACTAAGTGTAAAAATTATGCATTGATTTCATAAAGTGAACAAGTATTACTAGACATCCCAAATAGTATAGTGGACAACTATTATTGGACAGATACATTTATCTTCTTGGTCAGACATATTTTGTCTGGTTTTATTCTTAAGCAAAAGTCAAACATAAAAGCATATATAACTCAATTTTTAAGATTAGAAGTTCAGAACCATATTAAGCTTGAATTATCTAAGGGCTCGTTTGTTTTTTAAGATGCAATGTGTGAATATGAATATATAGTACAAATCCGAATACTAAAATAGTACTATATTTTTAAAATTTGAACAGTGAACCATAAGATCGTAATTTTGTTTAGAAGAATAATTTCAGAAATCTCTTCCTGATATTTGTTTTATCACAATTGTCTTTTTATGATTTACCATATTACGTTTACCTTTCTTAATTTCATTTTTTTTAGTTTCCCACCGAATATTTATTACCCATATTGTATTCTTCTTTCCAAAGGAGAAAGAAGCTAAAGAAATTACCACTCATAATCAGTGTTAAAAAATAAAAATATAGTGTTTGAGATTTGAATTGAAACTTTAAGGTGGATTTTGAACTCCTAAAACACCAATTCAACCTCTACTCGACTCTTGTGTTTAGGGGATTCAAAATCTATGTAATATATATACATTAAAAAAAATAAAAGTTATCTTATGTATAATGTAATTGTTTTACTCAGAAAAATAAAATAAAAATGAACTTGTTTTGAAAAATCGACTAAACTTATGACTTGAGAGAAATCGATTTTCCAAATATAGTCGCCACTTAATTTTTGTAAGAAATTAAGAAAACTTATAATTTTTCAAAAGATTTAAAACAAATAAAAATCATTTGAAAACCAAAGAGGTTCGAGGTTCAATTTACATTCCAAGAAGGTGTTAGGCCCTCGAAATGTCCGCTAACTTGCGGTTGACCAACGATTTAACTAAAATATTGACTAATTTTAAAATTGTTAAATAAAGTAAGAAAACCCATTTTTTATTTGGAAGGAAATAAACCTAAAAAGGTTTTTTAAGAATATAACTCATATATTGGCAAGATAACTAATAAATAAAGATAAGCAATAAAATAAAAATAGATATTCATTTGAACATAAAAAAAATGACTTTCTTTTGGGAATTTAATTAAATAGAACCAAGTCAAAATAGAGTTAGTTAATACAAACAATAAAAAAATAAAATTAAAGAGGAAGAGATATTAAACTTGGGCCACTTTGACCAAATTCAAATTGTTGGGCTGGCAGGCCCAACTTCTTTCACCCTGCTGTAATTTCAATTGGGGCTTTGGCCCATTTGCTCCTGAAAAATCTGTGTATACATTTGGTGTATACTGCTGCATACAGGCAGTATTTTGGCCATTTTTCCTGTATATTGAGCTGTATTCTACATGGGTACAGCCCAACTCAATTTTCACGTTTTGACCCATATACTGTATTTTCTGACTGTATACCAGTGTATACAGTAGCTGCATACTAGTTTATATAGGCCATTTTCTTGCATTATTTGCTTCCGAAACCTGTATATCAGCTTTCTTCCCCTGCATTCAGCTTTCTTTTCTTCGAAAAACATTTAAGGTTGACTCGATAAGAAGGACTTAGCCTCCACAACTCATTAGAAATGCGAATGGGAAGGTACTTGAGTCCAATTTGGACTCCACATGAGTTCACATGATACAAAAAATATAAGATAGGAATTTTCACCCAAAATAAATATGGCAACATTGCATCTAAACTATTCCTCAATCAAAACAATTAAAATCCAAAGAGAAAGAATATAAAACAACAATTGTACCAGTGACTAAACTCATGTAAAAGTAGCAAAAGTAATTAAGCTTAAACCACTATTCTAGATAAATTTAACCACTACTCATGATAAACACCAATAGCTAATCGGATTGCTACTAATTCAACATATTTGGCTCCAAAATAGTAACAAAACGTAATCAACGTTAACAACCAATGATGCAGTGAGCAAATTGAGAAAACTAACTAAAGAAGAACTGAAAATTTGATTACTAAATAACAAGCAAAACTTCACTTGATTGCAAGGATAAGCCAAATTGATGCAAATAAAAACAAAGGAAAAGACCAAGTAATTACTAAGTTTGAGCAACCATTTACAGAGAAAAACTGCTTCAACAATCCATCTGTTGATGATTTAAATGCTAGTATTGGCTAGAACCGGCAACCCTTTAAGAACAAGCATCAAGAGCATACTAACCTTTCACAGGATACCTACCATATATAATTTAAAATTAATGGAAATCAACTAAATGGATGAACTGCTACATCCCAAATTTAGACCAATCTTGGAAAATATAGTAGAATATGAACAAAAGAAGCTAAGAAAAATAAGAACTCGTTACTGCAATCCAACAACAAATACAGAATACAACACTCATAGCATTCCAGCAATATCAAGAGACACAACAATTTATTAATCAACAAATGAAATCCTAAAAAGAAGGACTAATAGAACGAAAACAGAGCCAACCACATATCAATGGAGAGGAAACGAAACATAAGACTAAGGATGTTACCTTTTCCGGTGCAGCAAATTGAAAAACGAGCTAATCACGAAGACGATTCCACCACCGAAGTACGACTCCGAGAAACAGAAAGAGGGTCGAGTCCGAACAAGAAACCGACTTGAGTATTCTCTACCTCACTTGTCAATTTTTGGGTCTATTTTACCTTAAAAACTTTGCATTCTGGGTATTCTTTATGTATGTGAACCCTTGCCTCTATATGTGGAATATATTCTTCAACCTCTATTTTACCCAATTTTTTCCAACCTCCCAACAATGAAGAAGGAGAGGGGTTTTTATAGAGGAGATCTAAGGCTAGAAAAGAGGGGGAAACGGGTGAAGAATTTCGAATTTGAAAGTTCGAATTCTCCTGAAGGGATAAGGTCTGAGGAGCTGTAATTATACGATTTTCCAACGGATTTGAATGGAGGATCGTCCGATTGTCGAGTAAGTACGAGGAGGATCGCGAGATGGAGACATCTGGATGATTCTCGGTACGGAAGGAGATAAAGGAGAGAGGAAAGAGGGAGAGGAATCGCGGGCTGCTGGTTTAGTTTCACGATTTTTCCTTGGAGTTTCTGGGTTTACGCGTTGAGGAGGAAGAGGACGCGAGTACAGGGGTCGGGTATGCTGTATGTATTGAATTGTTGTTGAATGAATGGGCTTCTATTGGAGTGGTTCGATTGGGCTTGGGAAATTGAATTGGGAATTGCTAGGCTGCTGGAACTCTTTGGGTATTTGGTGTTGCTGATTGTTGAATAGAATGGGCCTGGAATTGAACTGAAATTGGCCCCAAAAAGTGTGTTTAAGGCAAGGTAATAAGATTGCAATTAGGAAATACCTTTACAGATTGGCCAAGCTAATTAAGGATTTAGCTAAAATTGGATGTAATTCGTGAATTTGACTAAAAACTAAATAAAACGAATTAATATTAATTAATGAACAAGCTTCTTAATCTAACAAAATAAAATAATTAACTTCAATTATGAACTAATTAATTCAAAAATATAAACAATTAATTAACAAAATATTTAAGTAAAAATAAAATATTTTTGAGACGATTTTTGAATATTCAATATAATAAATATATACAAAACTTTATAGACTATATAAATTATTTTAAAAACTATAAAAATGACAAAATTACTTAAAATGCCTTGGAAAATATTTTAAATTTTATAAAGTCGATTATTTCAAATCGTTTGAAATTTAAGAAGCTCGATAATTGATTTATATTGTAGAGGTCCAAAATTGGTGTCAACAATAACTTTTTGTCAAAGGAAGTTCGGACGAACACTCTCAACCACCTCTAGATCCGCTCCTAAATACGATTGTGGCCTTACTAAATTGTATTGAAATACTTACTACAAATAAAGAGCAAATATAATGACTTATATTATATAGTACTGCTATAAATGTAACACGTACATTATTATTGGATACATATATAATGACTTATTATTTCATTTCACGTAGATTTTTTTTATTGAAATTCATCAAATTAAAGTCTTGATGCACATTGAGTGTAGATGTTATTATGCTTGTACTATGGTTAATTCAGCAGCATTGGATTGGATATTTTTTTGCGGTAAATCTCCTTCTTCTTCCCATATATGAGGAAGGGCTTCTCTTATGTTGTGTATGCTCCTCAAGGCGTGATCTGCCCCTGCAACCAAAGTTGAGCTACCCACCTGCACCAAAATAGTCAATCAATTAGCGGTTTAATTGAATTCAGTATTTTTTACGCACATAATATGAATAATGTGTGTGCAAAAAATTAAAATTGTGTTTAGCTAACTCAATTATCCATTAGAAAGGAGGTGGAACTTACAACCACCGTGTGGAGTCCAGCTTGTTTACCACTTGCTATGTTTCGAGCGCTATCGTCGAAAAAAATCTGAAACACGAGGAGGAACAAATTATATTACTCTTCGTTCACTTTTACTTGTTCAGTATTGTCTTGGCATAGTGAAATTTCACAAAGTGAGGTCTGGAGAGGATAAAGTGTACGTAGACCTTACCTCTATTTTCAAAAGGTAGAGATTCTGTTTTTGAAACTCGTGAAGCAAATTTAAGTATAGTGAACAAGTAAAAATAGACGAGAAAAATATATGAGTACTTACAGTTTTGTTTGGATCAAGGTTTGCAATCTGAATAGCAGCCTCCATTGCTTTGAGAGAAGGCTTGCATAAAATAGTAGCATTATCCTCTAAGGAAGGATTCAGAGTTTCAAAGCATATAATACCTTCAAAACAATCTCCCAGTCCCAACTTGCTCAGAACTCTAATTGCATGTGCTTTATCACCATTTGTAAATATCTGATTAATTTACCAAGCCAATATAAAAAAATATTAATATTTCTCCTAACTTGCAACCGCGCCTTTTATAGGCTACAAGTTAGAAATTTCGCTAAAAATGTACTTACAATTTTGCGTTGTGGCATGGAAAGTAGGAGGTTCCTTAGTAGTGGATCAGGTTTTAGCACCTCATATGGCAATCTTCCATGCACATATTCATGAAACTTGTCGTTGTCAAATTCGTACCCCAGCTCCTATATCAGGCACGGAAATTAAGAAAGAAATAAAGTTATATAAAACGTACTAGTAGTGTTGATTAAATATGTCATGGTGCATTTATATGTATGAGTTGACCATAAAAATTAAAATCATGTGGGTAAAATGAAAAGTTAATTAATTTAAACATACGATGAAATATTTTCAAATATATAAATGTTTCATTCTCTTTTTAACAAACTAAAAATGATGATTTTTATTTTTTTTACCTTCAAGCCTGCCATTGTTGTGCCGTATTCTCTGTATAAATCCAAGCACATTTTTGGCACTTCACTTTCTTCAATATTCAGGTGATGCAACATATATTCTAAGAAATTAAACAAGAATATGCTAATTAATTAGCCAACAATATATTATGTATTATAATTTTATTGGTTATTTACAATTGGTACATGACAAGATAATATATATAAAGTATAGTATACCTTCTATATTTTTGCGACAAGCTAGGTTGACACCTGAACTAAGAGGATACAAAGTGTCATCCATATCTGGGTAAAACAAAAATACATTAATTTTGATAAGAAAATTATTCAATCTCTAGTCTAGCAATAATAAAGGATAGTTCCAGTGGCAAATTTATGTGTAGAAATTGGGTCACCCGAACCTGTGGTCATCCGACTAAACTCGATATATTACTTGTATAATTATTAAAGAACATATTAAATAAACACTTGTGAACCCGTTCTTAAAGTTGCTGGATGGTTCACTGGTTTGACAGTCAGGTTTTAACACCAAGGTCCTGAGTTCAATCTCAGTCAACCACAATTCACTTCAATTTTTGTAGTAACTAATAACACTAGTTTTTTCAAAAAAAGAAAAACGAAATTCTAAAGCAATGGTGCACCCGTTTTCTTGAAATCCTGAATTCGCCTCTGGATAATTCAGTACACTAAAACTTACGCTATGCACTGAATTTAGGGAACATATACATAGTAATGTAACCAAATTAAATAATAATAATTGAAAAAACATACCAAACAACAGACACTCATACTTAAGAGTGTTGGACCTTGCAACGCTTTCCATTCTCAAGAGTAGCTTCACCTTGCTATTACATGCACAAATATTTTGAAATGTCAGTTCGATTGGCCACACTTTTAAAATTTATTTATTTTTAAAAATATTTTTTATTAAAAATACTTTAAGAGATGTAATTTATGTTTGACAAAATTAGCTAGCTATTTTATTTTTTTTACCAATATTTCAAAAGTGCTTTCAGAGAAAAAAAATATTTTTTTCAACTTTTTTCAACTTAAGCTAAATCTTTAAAATAAGTAATTTTAAAAAACTAACTATAGTTTATTTCCAATAAGCTTGACCAAACATAATTATCAAAATTCGATAAAATCTCTTAATTAAGAAACTGATGCTTTACTTGAAACTTTTTCCTAGTTGGGGAGGAGAATGAGGATAATCAAACGTATATTTCATATAATCAAAGAATTATATTAATTCAAATACTAAATAATTAAAACAATTTATTTTCTCAATATCTAAATTTGTAAAATTCATTTTTCCTTAAAAGTTAATAAATACTAATAAATTTTAATAAAATACTAAATTAATATAATACTATATAATCAATAGAATAAAATGATAATGTTTAGCAATGATGATTATGAATGACGATTACTGATTTTTCAATTTAAAGGGGTATAAGGCTATATCAAATAACCAAGTTCAAAAGAGTAAATAAACTACTTCATCCGTCCCTATTTAGTTGTCCACTTTAGAAATGACACACAGATTAAGGCAACATTGATTAATATAGTGAAGTGTCAATTTTACCCTTATAGTACAATTTACAATTCCAAAATAAATTCACTCAAGATAATTAATCAATGCTAGGAAGTTCATAAGCTTATTTACTTTATTTATGACAATTTTATTTAAATAAGGGTATAATAGAAAAAAAAATTGTTATCCTTTTTTTATTTGTCAAAATGGACAACTAAATAGAGACAACTAAAAGAGGAAATATGAACAACTAAATAGGGACGGAGGGAATACTTTAGAATGAATCTAAATATAAAAGTGCCAAATTTAAAGGAGTCTTTAAATATTCTGCCAAAAATAATTAAAGTAATTGATAAAAGCAAAAGATGTTGGGTAATATAAATTATATATACTACAAATCAAGAAAAAATGAACTTCTATTACGAAAGTCATAAAGCACAATATAAAAACTAAAGCAAGCATGTAAACGAATATATTAATCATCATATTAATATATTCGTTTACACGATTAAAAATATAATGAGATGATTAAGCTTTTAAATCAAAGGTCTCAAACAAACAACTAGAGAGTGTTTTGATCAAAATGGTGAATTATTTTGATCTTTTATATATATCATCTTATCCAAATAGTTTTTAATGTATATAAAAAGAGTATCATTTTGGTCCTTAGCCCTAAAAACTAACCGAAAAATAAAAAAGTTGTTAAACTTAATAGTGGGTCCCACAGTTGTTGGACCCTTTCTTCCTCCCTCTTTCTTCTGCCATTTCTTCTTCTCCATTTCTTTTCTCCACCACTTTTTCTCCAATTTCCAATTGATTTATTTTACAGTTCACTGTCAAAATCCTCTCTTACATACAAAAGTTTCTCCAAATTTCAAAAAATGTTTGTAAATTCAAAACCCATTTCAACAAATCCAATTCTGCAGAATGTCACTTTCGTTCTCTCTAAGTAATTCAAACACTTTTTTCAGTCTCCTAATGTTGCAAAGCAAATACACGATTATATCTTTTTAAATTAAAAAAATAAAAACTGAACGGACAGAGATGGAAAATAAAAAATTTACCAACATTTTTTTAAAAAAATTGAAGAAATTTTTGTATGTAAGAGAAGAATAAATCAATTGAAAATTGGAGAAAAAATGGTGGAAGAAAAAAGATAGAGAAGAAGAAATGGTAGAAGAAAGAGGGTGGAAGAAAGGATCCACCAAGTGTGGGACCCACCGTTAAGTTTAACAGTTTTTTTTTTTACTTTTTAGTTAGTTTTTTGGGCTATGGATCAAAATGATTCTCTTTTTATATACGACTATTTGAATAAGGTGACATATACAAAGAACCAACATAATTCAACTCCTATAGATGAAGGACCATTTTGATCATCTTCTCCTCGATGGGCTTACTAGCAAAATTGTTTGTTAGGCCAAGTAAATTTGGGAAGTTCTAAAGGAGAGAAAACAATACTTTAGTTTATTACTTCATATATTCTTATTTTAGGCGATAATTTTTCTTTTTATATGTTTTAATAGAAATGATATTCATTTCTATATTTTAAAATAATTTATCGTTAGATCTTTTTTACCGGCCTTAATGATATGTGTATATACACACAACACAAAAATAAAGTTCTGGTATGTTTAATATCACATGATCCACAAAAAAATCTATTCTTTTATGCACAAAAAGACTATAATATGTTTAATATTACAAATTTCATAAATCTTTCATTTTTTCTTAAACTTCGTTTTTTGTTGAATAGTACCACAGAAGAGAATAAATACAAGCTTATGTGCTTTAATTTAATTACCTGGTTGATGAAATCTTGAAGAAATGAAGCTAGCTCGACAGCAGCTTCCTGCACCTACAAGATACAAATTACGTATGATATATATAATTGCCTTGATTGGATGATGACTACTTCATGTAGAATTGTAGCTAATTTATAGTAGATTGTTTTTTACTTTTTAAAATATTGGGGGTACCTAACTCCCTATGTAGGAATAATTTTTTATTTTTTGTTATTTTCCATATCTGTGATATGGTCTGATTAAATTCAGATTCATTCATTGCATGATTCATTTTTAAGGGTGACACTCTCAATAAGATTTTTTCCATTCTCTGAGATCTAAACACGAAACTTGATAAAGAGATTTCAACCATCCCATCAAAATTAACGTTCGAATAAATTAGAATGGGGAATATTAGGTAAAGGCCACTAGTGTGCCACTTTGAACTTCTTCGTGGCCCTTTTCCCCCACTTCACTAGTTGGGAATGTGGCATATAGATGAGAGCATGCAAAAATTGTTTACACTATTAATAGTACACTAAATTTATACCAAATTGAAAACGATGGATTTAATTTGGTGAGTATTATGCTCTCTGCCTCAATCCTATTGGACGAATATTTCTTGGACCCCTACATTATTGTAACTTTTTTTTTTTTTTAATGTGTGTTTGGTTTTAATCATGTGTTATAGAAATTCACTGATTTCGACTAATTTAAATTAAGGGATAATTTCAGAGACCTCCCTCCAAGTTTCGCTTTATAACACTCACCTCCTCGTGGTTTACGATATTACGTCTATCTCCCTTATTTTCATTTTCTTGTAACCATTCTTTAAACCTATTTAAAATAAATATAAATTAATTTAGATTTGACATTTTTACCCTTCTATATATTAATTTCTTCATATTAATAAATAAATATTATATATAAAAAAATAACTAATTTAACAAATACTTTAAAAAGTAAATAATCACAAATACATTAATACTATTTTATATATAAAAAAAAAAACTGACCCACCATTTTCACCAAATATTAACTCTTCATCTCCATTTCACCTTTACCAATTCACTTATGATTTTTCCGCACAATAACCCATCATTTTTTGGCAACAATTTCTTCAAAAATCGAAGATAAAAATGAACTCCCCAAGAGAGAAATCCGATAAGAACGATCAATTTTGTTCTAGTTAAACATTTTCACAAGCTAAGAAGAAAAATGATCCAAGAAATAGAGATAAGTAATTGAAAATTAGATCTAAGCTTGCATGAGTGGTCAATAATGGAGGAAGCTATTAGTTTCTCAAAGTAATTGAATTTGTAATTTTGAAAGTGACGACACAATTGTTGATTGCAGCAGTGATGATGATCATCATTTTCTCTAAATACCCACAGCTACTCAAAGTCCTACCCAACCTCCGAACTCTCCTTGGATAGAAGGGTAAAATTGTCAAATCTAAATTAATTTATATTTATTTTAAATAGGTTTAAAGAATGGTTACAAGAAAATGAAAATAAGGGAGATAGACGTAATATCGTAAACCACAGTGGTGAGTGTTATAGAGAGAAACCTGGAGGGAGGTCTCTGAAATTATCCCTTAAATTAAAGTTTTTTTTTAGTATGTTCTTATTTTCTAGTGCTCGAACCTGCAATCTTTACTTAAGAAGAGTTAGAATTTTGAGTCAGTGATTTTGAATTCTAAAAATAACAGTTTATTGGGTTCGTGATAAAATTATTTATACATATAATATTCGGATCAAAACTATTGAATTCTGGCGAATGAATAAATAGACTTATAGCTCTGACCAAGAATAATAACAACTTGCATCACACACCTCGAAGGTTTGACTCGTGTTTTAATTGTGAATGGTATTATGCTTGAAAAAATAGCATCGTCTATTCAATTTATTCTATTTGCCCTTCTCGTTTGGCAATTGGGAAGGTATATCCCCATTGGTGCTAACGCTATACTTTCTTAAGCTCTTAGTGGTTTTAATAGTTGGTTAGGAGCTAAGTTATTCGTGTGTATTTTTTGGTTAAACAAGATTTTATTTATAAACATGCTAAGCTATTACATTAGCATGATACTTAATACAGTGTTTGATTTGCAATTTAGAAATTCATATAACTAATACATAATATTAGAAAGAAATCTATATATTATTTTATGCAGAATATGTACTCCCTCCAACCAACAATAGTTGTCCACATATCTCAAAGCATTAAATTTAATAAAGTCAAAAGATAATATAGTAATATTACCTTTATTATTTATTATTTTTAAGGAATGTGTCAAGTCAATAACAGACAACTATTATTTTAGAACATTGGATAAAGTATATATTTAGCAAATGCCTGCAAAAGAATAATAAATGGATAATATCATTTTGCAGATCACAAAGTACATATTCCTTATTCTCGTCGAGGCTGAATAATACTAGTATATATTAGCAGTCCTAGGTAGGAATAAATTAGAAGGGAAATAAGTCAAACTTATCATGTCCTACACAAATTGTCCAATTTTGTGCTTGATTCTTAAATGTATACCC